CCTCGCATAACTTATGCAACGTTTGGCTGACTGTACAAGTTAAAAAAAAAGATACCCGCATAACTTAATGCAACGGTTGGTTGGAGGGATTAAATAATTCGCACTATATTATGTGGAAACTCATGCAATAATTTATGTGGGATAATGTGGAATATGAAAACGTGTAATAAACATAGATTAACAATTTTGAAGACAAAAATGCCTTTAAAGTAGGCAATACTTACATAATAATTTATACAGTATTATCCACCGCATAACAATCCTTACAATATTAGTCACCGTATAACAATCCAACAACAACAAACCAGTATAATCCCACTAGTGGGGTCTGGGGAGGGTAGTGTGTACGCAGACCTTACCCTACCCTGGGGTAGAGAGGCTGTTTCCGATAGACCCTCGGCTCCCTCCCTCCAAGAACTCCCCACCTTGCTCTTGGGGTGACTCGAACTTACAACCTCTTGGTTGAAAGTGGAGGGTGCTCACCACTAGAGCAATCCACTCTTGTCCCTTTGTTATTATTCACCGGATAAACAATTCATAAATCATAAGCCCAAACATAACTAGAATGTGAACCAAATGACCCCTCAAGGATTTTCCAAATTTTTTTCTTTTATCGCCTATCACCCATTACTTGGTGCCTTCAACAAACCATTCTTTATCCGTCTTTAACCGTTTCCGTATTACCTTCTATTCTTTGTCCTTGGAAGATCTTAACGATAACTCCTTTTGCCCTATCTTCCCGGGGATACCAGCTAAGTGCATCCTTTTTTGAGAACTGAAAGGGATAGAATGGTACAACTAAGTCATCCTTTTTTTAGTAAGAGCTTTTTAAAGTAAGATCAGCTAAGTGCCTCCTATGCATGTGAAACCTAACATACTCCTCCAACTTCTCTAAGCCTTAACCTCTTTTGGCACAAAGCATGCCTCTTAATCTATATCAACCAACCACGGCTCCTTTCCTTCTAATGCGGTTTTTTTCTCAATTGCCTATCCAAAAGCTATTGATGACAATGTTTATATTCTCCTTATTTGCATCAAAACCCTCTAATTCATGCTACCGATAAGGACTGCCTTGCATCAAAACCCTCTAATTCATGCTACCGATAAGGACTGCCGTATAACCTTAGCATTTAGGGTTTGCCCAACTTCACTCTTCTAATATCCTATCAAGGCCTTTCGCAATCCATTCTTCGTTTTCCTCTTACCTTTACCCTCTGCCTTTGCTTCTTAGATACTTCTATTTGGTTCTTTTTTTTCCCTTTTGTTTTTATAAGGACTTCCATTTGGTTCATCTCTAGCCATTTCTTTCAAGAGAACTTTCCAACTTAGCGCCTAATGATTCATGCTTTCCACTTCCATATCCTCCTCCGTATTCTCTAAAGACTCTAAAGCCTCTGCTTGTTTATGCACAAAATATACCTCCTTCATATACATCAATCACACAATGCTTTCTTTCCTTCTACTTTCCGCCTATCCAACTTCTTGCTACTCTTTGCCTATCCAACCCACTATTGCCTTCTACATTCTTTCTCTCTGGTTGGTTCATCTTTTCAACTTCCTATCAATCTATTATTTTGAATAGATTATTTTCATTGTTTGCGTCAACCAATCAATGACTCTTACAGGCAAAGTCAATTACATACAACCTTCAGCGTTTAGGGCTTTTCTAACACTCCTCTTCCATCTCCTATCACCTATTACGCAGTGTCTTCAACAAGAAGTTATCCTCACACGTAGGAGTAGTCACCTTTCTTCTTTTCCATATTACCTATAATTTCTGCCTTTGCTTCCTATTATTGTCCAAAAAATAATAACTATCTAAATGCGACCAAAGGTCATTAGTTATCATCGAGAAACGCGGCTATTAGTGCAAGATTTTTACATGATAGTTGTTTAGTTGAGATTATCCAGTTAACCATTCTGATACAACAACTGCAAACAGCAATCAAGCTCCCACTAAGAAGAGTGGAGGCACCGAAAACAACTACGCAAAGAACTTGGCCCCATCATTCATACCATTCGTAAGCTCTCCACATATTAGGAAGCATTCAAAACAAAACATTTAGAGCTGAACCATCCCAGATACAAACCAGTTCACTTCTTTTAAACACCAGAATGAAGAGAAACCGAGTCCCTATTAGGATATTATTCACTTCTTAATGGTATATCAAAACAACGTTATTGTACTTAACTGAAATGAACATTTCTCGACAACTGAGGTGCCCTGGGGCTCTGGTTCAGCGTTAAGCATACAACGCAGGATATGTGGATAGGGTTTGGTATTGAGTTTTACCGCATCAAAAAAAAAAAAAATTAAAACGTATAAATTCTCTACATGAAAATCACAAGCCTCAAAAATACACAAAAACAACAAATCCTTAATATCAGCATTTACCAAACAAGTCTTTGTTACTTGTTCTTTTACTCAATTAATCAACCGTAAATGTAAATGGCTATAAAAATAAAATAAAAATATTTAACAATAAATAATTACCAAGCCGTGGCGTTCACCCGCCTGAAAGGAAAGCTTCTGTTGGTTCATAGCCTGAGTATAAAGCTGTGAAAGCGAATTCGCTCCGCTACAAAACGTCGAATACATGCTTCGATCCACCTCATCCAGCTTCGATGCCAATGACTTCCGCTTCTTCCCCATCTTAACAACGACACCGTTTTCCACGTGACTCTGCGTCTTCTCTCTCTTCGCTCTCTCTCTCTCTCTATAACTTATTAGTCATTCGGTCCTTTCGTTACCTTGTGAGAATCGATGAATCTCCGGCGATCGGACGGCGACTATGAGCGGTGGATGGAGGAGGCGTGGTGGGGTTGAAAGTGCTTTGAAAACTGTAATTGGAAGCTAATGTATAGCTTTCTTATAACAGCTGCTACCTCATGTTTGTTTGTTCCATTTGTGAAAGGGAGAGGGTGCATGGTAAGTTATATTGTGCTGGCACGTACCTTTTCAATATCCACGTGGGAATGGGGGTTATATTTTCGTGCCAATTGGGCTGTCGGTGAGATAGACTTTTAATATCACACTTTTAGGGTGGGGTTAACTCCGTTTGGGCAGAACTTAGGTCAAAGTTAAAAGTGTTTCTCGTGGGACAACCAACGAATATTTGTTAAATTAAAAACAAATTTTATCAATTATACGTCATATTTATTATAAATTAAAATTATTTTAAAATATTATTTTTTATAGTTATCTTTTATATTTTATAGTAAAATAGGTATTTATGATATATACTATCATTGAGGCATGAAATACGCTATTTATATTTTCCTTCGCTCTTTCTTTCAATTAATACACGATTCTCTCTCATAATTTTTCTTCTTTCTCTCTTCGAGCAAAATAGACCGAATCATAGATACGCAAAAGAGAAACAAACCATGAAAAAAGACCTAAAAATCTCAAAATCATAAACATGAAAGTAAATCTATAATTAAAAAAGGAAGCGGAGATACCTTGGGCGACGGAAAGATTGAAAAAAAAAAAGAGGGATTCTTAGCGTCGTAAGTAAGAGAGAAAAGAGGAAGAAACAGTCGAATTGGAAGCGTTGTAAATTGTAATGGAAGAGGTAGTGAAGCGATACAAGGAGTCTTGGCCGGAAAACACCATCTCCGACGAACTTTCTTCTCTTCTTTGATTTTTAGTCACATACAATGATACAAATACATTGTTATTCTGTACAAATTCACTCAAACACATTGTATTTTTGTATAAATACATTTTTTTGCCTGTGTTTATGTATTTCGAAGGTCTGTATTTTGTTAATACAGCTGAATACATGATATAAACATTGAAATACACTAAATACAAAACATTAAAATAGAATAGAATATTAACGGTGAATACATTTAATTTTAAAATACAGTAAAATTCACTGAATACAAATAGAAATACAGTAAATACAACCGATGAAATATACTAAATACAATAGTAATAACATGTATTAGGAATAACTAAAATATTGTTAATACAAATACATTTGAATACACTGAATATAAAATAGTGAATACAGTAAATACATACATTTAATCTAATGAATACAACAGTAAAAAAAATATTAAAATACTCTAAATACAAAAGTTAAATACAACTGAAAAATCATTCTAATTAATTGGGTTGATAATGAGGCATGTTAGAATTGATTTTGTTGAGTTACATTAGGAGTGTATCATGCTAATTATTTCCGTTATTAGACAACTGGACAGATCTATTTTTAAGGTGATTGTCATTACTGTATTCATGAATACATGGCACGAATACACATGTGCGTACAGTTGGACTGCCCTGATTTTTAGGCGCTTTTTGCTACTGTATTCATGAATACAACAGCGCGAATATAGCAAATACACTACCGTAATAATTGAATAGTAGCTATAGGAAGTAATTATGTATATGGTAGCTATAGGTAGTTAATAGCCACTAAAAATAGTGATTTCAGAAAATTTCTCAATTAAAATGTTGCCTATGCCTATGGGGTAAGGGGAAAAAGATTGAAGGGCAAAATATAAAACAAGTCGGTCAATCAAAACTAATTGCAACAACTAAAAATATACGTTCATCATAATTCAAAGGCATCTTCACCCGAATATAAGCCCAAGAATCAAAGATACATAATTTTTCTTAGTAAGGGAATAATTTGGTTGATTATGAGAATAAGTATAAATGAAAACATTTAAAGGGTTTTATTAAGCGCAGAATTCAAAGAATAATTTATCAGAGAAAGAAAAAGCAGCAAAAATGATGTGTTTCACAATCAAATTAGTAGTAAAACCCATCAGTTTCATTTGTATTCACTTTGGTCAAGATAGAGGAAAATTAAGAGAACTTGAAAAATCCACCAACCTAATGGAGGTTCGGAAAACAGTTCTTAGAAAATCATATTATGTCCTACTTTTTGGTATATTGCTTGTATACGGGAGATATATTTATTACTAATAAAATAATTTACTCTAAGGTTGAAAAGAAAAAGACCATCAACTTGCTGAATAAACTATCAAGAAACCAGACATGATTATTACAAGTAGGTCCCAAAGCGGAGCCACCCTTTTTTTAGTCACACTGAATATTAAACTAATTACGGATCTATTTTTACAATCAAGTTCATATTTCAAGTGTACATCAAACATAAACTGAACCAAAATAAAAAAAATACAACCAGAGAAGGACTATCTATATTTCCAACGTACACCAAATAATGGATGTGCGAAAGGACACTAATCTCATTTCCTGACTGTGTAACTAAAGCTCATTCATTCTATGTTTCTGCCCTTTCTCCATCCTCATGCCAATAGATAGTCACTTTCTAATCTTGTGAATTTCATGTGGCAAAGCATGGGAAGATAACTAATATAGGCCCCCATTATATTTAAGTTAGATCATATGCATATAGTACAGCCTAATTCCTTAGCAGCAATATCAAGAAATTTAGTACACATCCCATTTTCAATTCGGCTGTTAGCTTCCCACGTCAAACACTTCTCAATATCCGCTCGCCAATCAATAATGCCAATGCTTAAGTACTTATATGCAGGACCGTGGATTCCGTTTACATCTGCTCGTTTTGCACTAGATTTTAATGACCCAGCATGCATGATGACACGAAGAACTGACGTGCTGAGAGCACGTACGAGAGCACTTGGATGAGAAATACAACGAACTGTGGCTGGTAAGCGACACTGAAATGTATTGACAAAGGACTCTAGTAAGTGCTGTTACCTTAAGTAAATCTCATCTTAAAAGTGATAACAAATAGTACTCCTAGTACTTATCATTTTACTCACTTAGGACAGATATTACCTTTAACAAGTTTGACAGGCCGTCAGCGATTGCCAATCCAGATTCTCCCCACTCAAGCACTGGTTGTACTGCTCTAGCTGTCACTTCCAGAAGCTGCTCGAGAGTATTTAATAGCAAGCATGCAAGTTTAACAAGAAAAAAAAGAAATAGAATATGATGATCAATTAATTGCCATTCAGACACATCATATTACTTGGAACTTCAGAGCATATTTAAAGTCCTTGCTTACTGAATCAAATATTTACTTCAATGAGAAATGATAAATGTTTGAACTGAAGGTGTTATTACCTCTAGCTGTGGTAAGGTGCATGCTTCTCCATCGACAAGCATCCCATCTGTGGCCCGTAAAAGGAGGTCCGGTGCGCTAGCCAGAATTACCAAAGATTCTGGTGTATCATGATTCCTCATTAGTTCAGCGATCAATTTCACTATTCGTTGATTTATCCTCCACATATTCTGGCCAAGATCATCATCTTTGGCAATCCATGGTTGCAATTCCTTGTCCGCCTGACAAGCAAACGAAGCAAGGAAAGTGACTAAAAATATATGGTGAAAAAGATACAAGATGATTAAAGATGCAAGTCAGAAATTTCACAAGGCAGAGAAGTACCCCATACCAAAGAACATCTAAAATGTATATCTTCTATAAACATGTGGCCACAAATTATGATGGACATAAATACAAAATTTGAAAGTATGTATATCTGTGAAAGCCTTATGGATTCAATTAACAGAAATTGAGCTTAAAATCAGCTGCAAGAAAAAAAGTTCATTTTCTGCTTTTCTTGTTTTTGAGAGAAATAGTGAAGAATCTAACGGATCTTTCAAAAGAAAAGTTCATATTCTTGTTATCATCAAGTTCATAAAAAGCGAAAATCTGGACCTGAAGAACAATGGCTGTTGCAGCTTTTGCAGGCAATGCTGATACGACGTTGCATAGTGCGTCAACGACCTGTAAAACATGTGAAAGCTAATAAGCAACTTATATTGTATAAGGTACTATTGCAAAAGCTGCTTTTTGGTAAAAGCTACTCCGAATAAGTATAAATTTGAATGTACTCGTGCACATAATGATTTGCACCCAAAAATCTCAACTTTCTTTCCAAGTGAAATTCATGTCCAACCCCAAATAGGGAATTTAAAATAGTATTTTGTAAGTCATAATAGTGGAAGACATAATACTAGAACCATGTGTTGTCCATCTATCTTTTGAGTAGGTAACTGGGGAACTATTTTTCCATCCGTCATCCCTTTCTACAAGAGACGGTTTGGTTGGACATAGGATATAGTCATGGAAGAATTAAATTACTCATTTAGTAGGAAAATACTAAATTATAGTTTTGCATTTGAATTGTTTGATGAATTTGAATTCTTCAGACTTGCAAATTAATATACTTCAGCGTAACATATGCTAATAATATCTATAGGGAAATGTCACACACACACACAAAAAGAAAAAGGGCAAGGTACTAATTTCATGGAAGCCGATGTTTCTAACTGTTAAAGAATGAATGTAGACATAAAGAATGAATGTAGACAGATTACTTGTACTATACATAGATGGAATAAGTATTGAGATTTGATAGTAAATTTTTAGGATTTTCCTTTTACTTCTTTCCATAGTTAGGATCTTATGTGTATATATATATATATATATATATATATATATATATATCACTTTATGGAATAAGACACCAACTTTGATTCTTCCATAACTTGTTTATCACATGGTATCAGAGCCGGTGTTGGGTTTGAAATCCGGCCGAGAAATAAACGGTATCACTGGAACTTGACTGGTTTTAGGAGAGTCCTTTGGTCTGGCGAAGTAACTCTCACCATCAATCCTTTTGATATATATGTTTCCAGAATCCGATGGCCGGATTCATTGTTTGTGAAGCCCACGCACCGGTAGAGCAATTATGACATAATCTGCCCCGACGGCGCATGAGAGATCGGTTGGAGACTTGATTCACTGTTCCTAGGTCACGTCGTTATTTTCAGCGTGTCTCTGGTGGCTTCTACTCGAACTGACCACGATTTGAGAAGGCTTTCTTGCTCCCAGAAGTGCTGCTCATTTACAGTCTCATCCGAAAGTCCCAAGTTACTGATTTCCATCTAAACTTTGTTTCTTCCATCTTGATTTGGCCCTTCGTAGCTACCTACCTATTTGGAGTCTGAAGATAATCTGGTATTTCTGAGTTCTTTTAGTGGTGGAATATACTTAATTATTCTTGGTTATATTTCCTGGTGGAGTATATTACTGGTTTGTGTGATTTATTAGTGCATCATTGGTACTTTGGTTTGGTCATATTTTTGGTGGAGTATATCTTTATTGACTATCTGCTTGGAACTTAGTTAATCTTTTCTTGAATATATTTCGTGAGTTTTATTAGAATGACTATAAACAGTAAGCAAGGAGGAAATAGTGCTACAACTCCTAGTCCAGCAATCTTGGTCTCGGATGAGTTTCATGAGTTCCTTTAATATTATAAATCAATGAAGGAATCTTCTCGAGTTACTGCTTTTGCTGGGTCAGATAAGACATGTTTTATCACCTCTTCAAATAAATGGGTGATTGATTTAGGTGCCACAAATCACATGACAGGTAATCCAAATATTTTTTCTAGCTTTCGATCACACAAAGCACCCTCTTCAGTTATTGTAGCTGATGGAACAACTTGTAGCAGTGTTGGATCTGGGACTGTTAAACCAACTTCCTCTATTACCCTGTCAAATGTGAGTCTACCAAACTTGGCCTTTAATTTGATTTCTGTTAATAAAATCACTAGAGACCTTAATTGTTGTGTAGCGTTCTTTCCCAATCATTGTTTGTTTCTAGATCTTATGACGAAGCAAATTATTGGTAAAGGATATTTATCTGGTGATCTCTATATCCTTGATGAATGGGAGCCACAACCTATTGCATGCTCCAGTATCGTGTCTCCTTTTGAAGCACATTGTCGATTGGGGCATTCCTCTCTGCCTTTGTTGAATAAGCTATGTCCTCAGTTTCAGAATATTTCTTCATTGGATTGTGAGTCATGTCGATTTACAAAACATATTGAAGTTGACTGTCACTTTATTCGTGAGAAGATTCAGGAAAACTTGATTTCTACTAGTTACGTGAAGACAGGAGAGCAATTGGCTGATTTATTCACAAAGGCGTTAAATGGAACACGAGTTAATTATCTTTGCAACAAGCTGGGCATGATCAATATCTATGCTCCAGCTTGAGAGGGAGAGTTAAAGAATAAATGTAGACATAAAGAATGAATGTAGACAAATTACTTGTACTATACATAGATAGAATAAGTATTGAGATTTGATAGTAAATTTTTAGGATTTTCCTTTTTACTTCTTTCCATAGTTAGGATCCTATGTACATGTATATATATGTATCACTTTATGGAATAAGACACCAACTTTGATTCTTCCATACCTTGTTTATCACACTAACCAAAATTTTACTTAGTTCACAAGATGTCTCTTATTGTTTTTTAAGGGAGAAATGTACAGAAAAATTGATAAGCACTTTGGTGCTATAAACAATTGTAACTCAGACATAAAACATCATCTTTAATTTTCTTGGTATAAAATTCAACTCCCC